CACAAATGTCGCGAAAGAATCCTTAGTAGTATTTTGGTTATTTACAGAACCCTGAAAGATTCTAGTGCAATATATTTTAAGAGCGATTTTTTAAAATAACAATGATGCACGTTGATCATTTACGAGTGACAGCTCGTATTCTGGTCTAAACATTAATTTGGGACTAGACGGCTATAAACTTACAAACTCAACGGCATCTTGGCTAAGCTCGAGTGAGAGGGTCTGCATGTTCTTGAAGGTCTTGAGGACCTTGGCGAGCCTGAAGCGACGGGCAGAGAAAGCTGAAGAAAGACGGGCACCGAACTCAGTCACGTCAACGCTATCCTGTAATTGAATATATACGCATATTTTAACAGGCCTTTTTTAATGAAGTAGTGATTCTACATAATTATATTTAAAACTAAACAACAAATGAAGCACTGAAGATGCCAAAGCTAACTTAAAATAACCGCATTTCTTTTCTTTTTAATTAGCGGAGCATGTATTTAGGGGCCGATCCAGAATTTTGTATAGGAGGTCACTGTACCTAAAACGTAATAATTTAATAACAGAATATTTTTGTGTCTTTGGTTAATCTGCTATTTCGTATTTGGCTCATCGTGATCGCTGTGCCTATATCAAAAAGGAGTTGCATAAATTATTTCACTGAAAAATGATATTAGAGACAATTGAAAAAAAAATTCGTCTAACAAAATATCAATGCTCGATATTACCTGTCATTTAAAACGGTAAATTTATTTTAGAAATCATGTGAGAAAACTCGAATGAACACTAAATTAAAGAAAAAGAAAATGATAACTTACGTCGATCATAACAAGGTACTTTCCCTTGATGGTTTCCTTGGCACGCTGGAGAGGAGCGATGCCATAGGCAACAGCCAACAGGGCGGTAAACACGATCAATCCACGCATTTTCTGATGTAAGAAATTATGTGAAATGTATGACAAAGATTATTAAAATGTTCAATGTATTGTCATTTGTATAAATCGACAAAAAGATACAACTTTTATGTAGGCATCAATTATGACTCCTCTTTTTGATTAGTTTAATGTAAGAATCATATCCTTCAGTTTGATGACTATGAATAGGCCTTATGTAATGCCCTGCGTTTTCCACCAAACGCCCCATATGAAAAAAGTCATTATCTTACATTTTCCTCACCCGAAGGCTCTCCGAGAAACTAGGGGGTAGTTCTTGATGGGTCCACGGCTTTGCTGTGTACAGACATGTACACACATACACCCATGAAGAACCAAGTAATGGTATTTAAAAAAAGTCTGGTGTCAGCGAATGACCCACTGCATGTGGGAACTGACCACCACCTCCGTTTAACTTTAAGAAGCCCGAATGACTTAAACCAAGAAGACAAATGGTTATCAACTCACCGTAGGTGTCTGGAGGTACTGTGTCTCTTGGTGTGAACAACTGGAACCAATGAAGAACCAAGTCCAGTCATCTGCTTTTATAGAGGTCCTGTACCAATTCGGCCTTATCAGGAAGGCTGGCATGGACGTCATAAAAGGATTATGAGGAGGACACGTAGATATTAATAATAGGATTAAATTATTAAGTGTCGTGTGCTGTTCCAGGTGAGCTAATATCTTATACCATCACATGCACAATGATTTTAATATAATATTATGAAATCTAGAACGAATGGTGGAAACTCATTTACAAGTTGCCTACTTAATGCCCCCTCCCCTTTCCCCCTTACTCTCTCTATCTCTCCCTCAATTGATATCTCTCTTGCTCTATTTCTCATAGTCTGGTAGTCTGTCTGTCTGTCTCTCTCTCTCTCTCTCTCTCTATGTCTCTTTCACTTGATCTAATTTTCGTGATCTTTCTCTAATAAATTAAATTTTAATCTATCCTATTTAGTATATTTTAATTTTGTAGTATTTGTGTCTTCCCTCTGTATAATGTTCAACTTTTACATGTATTTACAATTAAGAATTACATACATAAATCATTTAATTCACGCTCCGTCTATAATTCATTTTCATTATGACTGTGTATCTGTTTCCTGACTTCCCAGTGACCCACTCCCCCCCCCCCCCCCCCTCTCTCTCTCTCTCTCCGACTTTCATTTGCCCTCATTTTGCTGATCTTTCAACATTTAGTCATAGTTTAATTTATCATGTTTTATTAGATAGCTTAGATAGATACCGTGATATCGATTGCGAGGATCGTAATTGTTATATTTTCCTGGCCGGTCACTTTCCATGGTTATATTGACCAGCAGGTGAAATATATATATGTTTAATCAATGCATTTCGCCCTTTTGAGGACTGTATGCATTTTTTTCTCGATTTTTCTTTTTTGCTTGAATTTTTTTTCCTCCATATTTTTTTCTTCCCTCGGAATGCTTTTTTCGTAATTTTTTCCCCCAATTTGTTTCTTTGAAGAACTAAAAATTTGAGACCCCAATATGGACCCCAATAAATGTTCAAAGCAGGGCTATCTAATATAAATAACATTCTTCGGACCTGAAGGAGTGATATTTTCCCTCGTGACAATAAAATATAACCTCTTGGGAAAATATAACTCCCTTCAGCGGTCCAAAGAATGTTATATTACACCCCCTGCCAATCAATATCTGTAAAATACTGTACTTTTATTTAATTTGTGTCTCCCCTTTGCGTAATTTTTGAATGTGTATTACACATGTCTTTACAATTTACAACTACAAATCATTTTGAATCACGCCTCGTCCAAAATTCCTTTTTATTGTGACTTTAAACATGTACCTGTTTCCTTGCTTCCCGGTTCCCCCTCCCTTAGATTTAATTTATCATGTAAGAAGGAGGCGCGATAACTCAGTTGGTAGAGCAGTGGTCTCGTAATCTGGTGACCCGGGTTCGAAACCGAATCGATGCGCTAGTTCCCTTTGGTAAGGCATTAATCCTCATTACCAGGTCCCTCGGAGAGGACCTAAAGCCGTCGGCCGTCTGGTTGCTTACCTACAAGCATTAATGCTTTCTTAGCAGTCAGATAAAATAACTAACCATAACCAAGTACAGTTTACTTTTATATATTTTGGTCTATCTTTTGTATAACTTAGATTCCTACAAGGATGTACAATTTGCAATCAATGAAAATCATCCCCTGTCTATACTTGCCCAACCTTTTTACTTTATTTACTTTTCAATATGTCTCAGTCTATACCCAACTATTTTGCTTTTCGTGACTACCCTCTCTCTCTCTCACACACACACACACACACTTTCTCCCTGTGATTGTTTAAGTTTCTCTGTCTCTTTCCCTTTAGTTACACAAATAATACCAGCCATTTTGGGTCAATTAATTTATGCTTCCTTCTACATTTTTAACGTGAAAATTCGGATATGAGATATGGGTATGTTATGAAGATTTTTGATCATTACAAGCGATATAATTAATATCATTTTACAAAAGCCTATACCAATGTTCGCTCTTTCACTGCATTATATATTTTTGTCCGACCTCATTCCATCTCGAAGCTGATCAAGATTAAAATGTTCTGTCCTAAATTTTCACAATTTTTCGTTCCTTAACCTTCTTACTTTTTTTCAAATTACAATCTTATCATTATAACTAATACCTCTATAGCACAATTCTCTCTTTCTCTCTTTTTCATTTTCTTTTCATTATTACTGCAATTAATGAATAATGTCATAATACATATCACATTTTAGAATCTCGTCAGTTTATGTTTAATGATATTAATGCGTTTGGATGCGGAGTTACTCGTGGATATAGGCTATTGTGCTGGAAGTTACAAGGCGGTGCAATTGTTCAATGGTAGAGCGAATATTTTGGAGGTCCATTAATTTTCAAGTCTGTTACCGTTATTTGTATTAAGTAAAAACTCACGCACACCAAGGTAATGTCCACATTGTTTGTATGGGATAGGAAAGGACGTTTTTAAGAGAGAAGAGCTTTGAACAATGGAACATCCCCGACGATCGACGCCTCCGAAGTTCAGAAAAGCTGTCAGCAGGCCAACGTGAACAATAATGTCGATGTTCTTGACTGTTGGTCTCACCGAACCGCAGACAACTTTTCAGACCGCCCGTCAGTGCGACATTGTCGGTGTGGTGGATTGTGGGTCTCGTAGAGCGGTCCGTCTCGTGGGCTGCCGTCTCGAACGGCTGACCGTATCGAGGACCGTATAACCGTTGGCAACGTGAGACGATAATTGTCTATAATTATGCAAAGAAAGGGATGTTTTTCGTGCTGGTCGATTGAACACATACTGAATCCAAGAATTAACATTGCTAATAATTGTTTGGAAGACCGAGATTTATGAATTTGGCCTGCTGGCGAAGGAAGTTTTTGAATTCAAAATAAGAATGTGGAAGCTAAATTAGTTTCTCATTAAAGTCTCACATAGTTCAAAATTATTCGTGTGATACAGCGACAATCCTATTTAGATGAACATTAAAGACCCTACCAGTTTGCAATCACTGTAAATACTCGGAATTTCATATTACGTGTATGTAATATGTGTTGTAATACGAACAGTTAATATTGTTGCTATATAATCAAGTTGAAGACATCGTCCTATTAAAAAAAGATCATAGTTTAAGTTAAATGTTATGTTAATGTATTTGTGTTATTGTTGATTATAATATTGCCTGTATTTATTTTTAGTGTGAATAGATTCAAATCAACTAAAAGAGTAATCTTATGCTCGTGCGACACGTCTTTATCATTCAAGAGCTTTGTCTCCCTCTTCCTACCTCTCCCTCCGCCCTCCTATGTATGTCTGTCTCCGCCTGCCTGACTCTCTCTCTCTCTCTCTCTCTCCCCCTCTCTCTCTCTCCCTCTCTCTATCTGTGTCTCTATTTAAATCCGTCTCTGTCTCTGTATCTGTTAATGATTCTGTCTCTGTCTCTCTCCCTCCCCTCTCTCTCTCTCTCTCTCTATTACACACACACACACACGCATACTTGCACGATTGGTACATTCATTTTATTACTGGCTCATTGACTTTGATGAACAGATGTGACACAAGAAAGTCATGTTTTACACAATTCTTTTTGAAGATTTATCGATTCATTTATCTTTAATTACATTATCATTACATGAGATATTTTCACATTTCTAAAAACAACGTTCATTCTATTTAATTTGAATATCCTTTGAGCCATTGTTGTTTTGATTTAGTTGGTGAAGAGGAGGAGGTTGGGTGAGCGCCGGCCACTGTCGGTCACCTTACCGCTGGTGGCGGAGCTGAGGATAGAGCTGTAGACGGAAGATGGAGACATGCTTGGGCTGGCGGCAAGGATAAGAGCAGCAACTCCTGAAAAATAAAGCGAAACGAAAGTATGTGAGAGATAAACTTCAGTACCTGTCGTGCGATAAGTGTGAAATATTGTGTAAAGTTGTGAGAAAGGTATAAATTGCGTAGTGCACTATTATGTATTTTGAGATCTAGAAAATGCAACGGAGTATTCCAACAATAAGGCCATCAGGTCTTAGATACCATCTGCACACGGGCGGACAATGGTCATTGATGACTTCTTTTTCTCTCACTTGATTTGTATAACACTAAGATACTGGATAGGTGCCCATAAATGTAATATAATTATTCACTTTGTACCAATGATGCATTCCATGATACACAAGCGAAATTATTTTTTCGATAGGGTGAACAAAATTATTAATGAAGCATTCCCAACTGTATAATTAAATTTGTTATTTTTAGGGTAATTATCTTCACCTCCAAGTTGTAAAAGTAACAGTCTTTAACAGTATTAAAGATATCATCCAGGAATCATCATCCAAGACGACATACCTGAGACGTGTGGGCAGGCCATGGATGTACCGCTGATGGTACTGGTAGCACTGTCAGATCCCTTCCAGGCAGAGGTGATGTCAACTCCAGGTCCGAAGATGTCGAGGCAGGAGCCATAGTTGGAGAAGTAGGCACGGGCATCGGTGTCATCGGTGGCACCAACGGTCAGGGCCTAGATATTGGGGACACCATGAATGAGACTTCGTATAAATAATGAACTAAAAATGGATAATAATTAGGTCTCCTTTACTCAGGGAAGCCACTAGACTATTAAGACTGCTCTTCCTGTGGACCATGCACTTATTATTAGCCTAGCATTTACCTCAGGTTGAAAGTGGTAAAGTGGAATAATATCTTGCCAAATGACGTTGGTGAGATTCGAATCCTCTGCCCTTGGGTTGGGAGTCAATTCTCAATTCTCACTATACGAACACTAACGCTGGATGTGGATATAGGGAGTATGGGGAGACATTCCACGAAGAGTTGAAAGATTAGGAAACTTACATATCCAGACCTGGCTGGAGAGGTTCCGCAAGCATCTTCATCACTGTTACCAGCGGCGACAGAGACGGTGAACCCAGCATCGTACATGCGCTTGACGGCAGCATCGGTAGTGCTGGAGGCACCACCTCCGAGAGACATAGAGACAACTGCTGGACGACGACCGTTAGATACAACCCAGTCCATTCCTGCAAAGACCGTAAACACATTTTGAAATGATAATACAAATACTAATGATTGAATTCATAAAGCGCATTCCAGAGGATACAAGGCACTGTCGCTAATTATGCTATGCATAACTTGAGAAGAACGGTTGATTTTCAGTTGTTTTTTGAAAAAGTAAAGCAAAGAACCTGGTCTTAGAAATAAGGTTTGTTCCATAGGCGTGGGGCAACGGAAACCAAACAGGTTATTCAAAGAGAAATTCAGGTGTTTTCCTTTGTTCCTTTCTAATTAAAAGAAAGGTATCCCTTGGATTTGGTACATTGGTTATTCGTACTGACAAATCAGTTCATATTTCTTTTAATGGGATTCAGCCCCTTGACGAAATTTGTTGCCGTACACCCGTAATCATGAAGCAATTTGAATATAGTCTCTCCGATGTCAAGTTAAGAACTTCTTGATACCACACTCTAAACTTCGATATGACGTCATATTACGTAGAAATATAATTACCGTCGATGATTCCAGAGTTGGATCCGGATCCGAGACATCCAAGAACACGGATTCCGTAGATGTTGGCGTTCTTGGCGACTCCGTAGTTGGTTCCAGCGACGGTTCCAGCGCAATGGGTACCGTGACCGTTGCAGTCAACTCCCTGTAAGACGGGAAAAGTACAAATGTATACTGGTAGTGCCCTTTTCAACAACAAGATACATTGGGGATGTGTGGAACGTCTTTAAATGTGATTTGGGACGCTACATTCTATTTCAGATTTTTATTGTCATAACTCAAAATGTGGTTTCCAACTTTGTAATTTTACAACCTTAATGTAGACCTTGGCTCGGTCGCTTTTGGTCTACGTACGATCTTGATTATGTCATTAAATCATCTTTATTCGCATATTGTACAATTTTAATGCTTTCGTTAGAGAATCTGAATACATGAGAACCATTGTGAGAGGGACTTTTACAAATTACGGATTTAGCCCTAGCACCCCACTGCCCTTCTCTGATATGATTCTAACCTGTCAAAGGTACTCTTGAGTAGCAGCGGATACATTTGGTTCCTTATGTTCATTCAAAGGCTTTTTGTTCTTAATTGATAGGCCTTTATGAACTTACGTTGTTGTTTCCGACGGCATCGTATGCGGCGACTGCACGACCTCCGAAGTCGTTGTGGGTGGGCCACACACCGGTGTCGACCACGTACACGTTCACATTAGCACCAGAGTCTGCAAGTAAGCGAAGATGATTTTGTGAGAATACTTGATTCAATATTTTCTGAATTTCTGACATTTTATGAGACGATTACCCTTTCATTTTCAGAAATACGGACTTCTACAAAAAATGAAACTCCGGAATTATAATGAACCTTCAGAAAAACGACACTTAACCGATTTCAAGAGCTGATTTTTCTCAAACAATAATTTTGTTATAATTAGATATGATGAAAAATATTCATTACAGATAAAAAAAAAAAAAAGAAGAAAAAAAAGAAGGGGATTTAAGATTATGCATGCCCTCTAAATTTTAAAGTGAGCAAATATGCAAGAACATCGGAGAATTAACTGCTTTTAATCAGAGAAGTTGAAATCATCCAATGTTAAATCTTACTCATTGGGTTGTAGGAGTTATCAAGAGGAAGGTTCCTCTGGTCAATACGGTCAAGACCCCATGAGGCGACGGCCTGAGTGCGGACAATACCATCTTCCTCAACGTGTACGACTCCATCGAACCTGCGGAGCTATATAACAAGATTCAAGATATTCTGTAAAGATCTGTTTAAAAACTATCAAACTGTTTAATCAAGTAATTGCGCATATACGATACTAATGAAATTTTGTACTTATATAACCAATCTCTCTTCGAAAAATTTGCTTTAAAGGCCCACTGCACTACTTGTAGTTACTTGCGCCCTCTATATAACAAACAATGCCTAATCGGTGACCATTGGTCCCCCATATCCTCTTTTTCATATGTTAACTGAGAGCTGAGTTGATGAGATAACCACCTGTCCAGTGACCTTGCAGGGTGCTCTAATCCCTCCTGTAAACTATGGCAGATAAGCTTTAAAAGGATCCTTGATATTGCACGCTGATTCTTATAAAAAAACGATACTTCTATGACTTTTGTAGGTTCTGTAGAGTAAGGAATACACCAATGTCGCCAAAGAGTCCTTAGTGGTATTTTAGTTATTTCAAGAACCCTGAAAGACTATAGTGTGCAATATCTTAAAAGAGCGATTAAAAAAAAAAACATTGATGCACGTTGATTATTTACGAGTGACATTTCGTATTCTGGTCAAAACATTAATTTGGGACTAGACAGCTATACTTACGAACTCAACGGCATCTTCGCTGAGCTCGAGTGAGAGGGTCTGCATGTTCTTGAAGGTCTTGAGGACCTTGGCGAGCCTGAAGCGACGGGCAGAGAAAGCTGAAGAAAGACGGGCACCGAACTCAGTCACGTCAACGCTATCCTGTAATTGAATATATACGCATATTTTAACAGGCCTTTTTTAATGAAGTAGTGATTCTATTAGTATTTGATATAAAACTGAACAACAAATGAAGCACTGAAGAGGCAAAAGCTAACTTAAAGTAACCACATTTCTTTTCTTTCTTAATTTGCGGAGCATGTATTTAGAGGCCGATCCAGAATTTTGTATAGGAGGTCACAGTACCTACGTAATAATTTAATAACAGAACATTTTTGTGTCGTTGGTTAATCTGCTATTTCCTATTTGGCTCATCGTGATCGCTGTGCCTATCAAAAAGGAGTTGCATAAAATATGTCATTGAAAAATATACTCCACGATATTAGAGACAATTGAAAAAAGAAATCGTCTATCAAAATATCAATGCTCGGTATTAACTGTCATTCGAAACGGTGAAATTATTTTTAAAAAATCATGTGGGAAAACTCGAATGAACACTAAATTAAAGAATAAAAAAATGATAACTTACGTCGATCATAACAAGGTACTTTCCCTTGATGGTTTCCTTGGCACGCTGGAGAGGAGCGATGCCATAGGCAACAGCCAACAGGGCGGTAAACACGATCAATCCACGCATTTTCTGATGTAAGAAATTATGTGAAATGTATGACAAAGATTATTAAAATGTTCAATGCATTGTCATTTGTATAAATCGACAAAAAGATACAACTTCTATGTAGGCATCAATTATGACTCCTCTTTTTGATCAGTTTAATGTAAGAATCATATCCTTCAGTTTGATGACTATAAATAGGCCTTTGTAATGCACTGCATTTTCCACCAAATGCCCCATATGAAAAAGTCATTATCTTACATTTCCCTCACCCGAAGGCTCTCCGAGAAACTAGGGGGTATTTCTTGATGGGCCCACGGCTTTGCTGTGTACAGACATGTACCCATGTACACCCACGAAGAACCAAGTAATGTTATTTTAAAAAAAGTCTGGTGTCAGCAAATTATGGCCCACTGCACGTGTAAACTGACCACCATCTTCCTTAAACTTTAAGAAGCCCGAATGGCTTAAACCAAGAAGGCAAATGGTAATCAACTCACCGTAGGTGTCTGGAGGTACTGTGTCTTTTGGTGTGAAAAACTGGAACCAATGAAGAACCAAGTCCAGTCATCTGCTTTTATAGAGGTCCTGTACCAAGTCGGACTTATCAGGAAGGCTGACATGGACGTCATAAAAGGATTATGAGGAGGACACGTAGATATTAATAATAGGATTAAATTATTAAGTGTCGTGTGCTGTTCCAGGTGAGCTAATATCTTATACCATCACGTGCACAATAACTATATAATATTATGAAATCTAGAACGAATGTTGGAAACTCATTGACAAGTTAAAGCCCCCTTTCTCCCTCGCTCTATCTATCTGTCTCTACAGTCTCTCTATTTTTTTTTATCTCTCTTGCTCTATCTCTCATAGTCTGGTAGTCTCTCTCTCTCTCTCTTTGTCTCTTTACACTTGATCTAATTATCGTGATCTTCCTCTACTGTAAATTAAAGTTCAATTTATCCTGTTTAGTACATTTGAATTTTGTATTATTTGTTTCTTCCCTCTGTATAATTGTCAACTTTACATATATTTACAATTTACAATTACATGTATAAATCATTTTTAATTCACAATGACATGTATAAATTATTTTTAATTCACACTCCGTCTATAATTCATCGTCATAATTACTTTATATATGTTTCGTTACTTCCCAGTTAACCATTACCTGCCTCCTCTTTCTCTCTCTCTCTCTCTCTCTCTCTTTTATTTGGTCTCATTTTGCTGATCTTCTCAACCATTAATCAGGTTTAATTTATCATGTTATATTTTATTTTTAGATAATTTGTGCCTCCACTTTGTGTAATTTGTTAATATGAATTTTACAATGTTTATAATTTACAACTACAAAACATTTTAAATCACGCCTGGTCTATAATTCCTTTTCACTATGACTTTAAACATATACCTGTTTCCTTGCTTCCCGGTTAACCACCTAAACAGGACATTTTTTTTGGGGGGGGGTTAGGTCATCCTTTTTAGGTCATCCATTATGATTTTTTTAAATTATTTTTTGTATTTAAAAAAAAAAAATTAAAACAAATCCAAACTCAAAAAGGGGGGGGGGGGGGGGTTTCCCAAAAAAAACATACACATAAAAAAATGAAGGGGATGGGGGTAACACCATGCGCTGTGTGTGTGAAGCTAGAGCTTCGCATCACCGTTTCGAATTAGCATGCGTAAAGCTTGTTATTGACAAGATGAGCTTTGATTGGCTGTATGCAAATGGGTTCATACTGGGGTCCGGAGCTTAAGTGGGGAAAGAATTACGCCTCCCGCCCCTCCCCCCTTCTGCAACACAAACCAAGATTATCAAAAAGTAAACTATACAGAGTTATGTATCATGCTAATAACATAGACTAGGGGTTCTAATCATCTTTTCATAATGTTGAACACACATGAAAGAAAAATTAATATTCTCCACTCAACAGAACTAATTCTAGTACTAATCAAAAGTAAAATGCTAAGCTTTAGATTTGTAATTGAGACTAGAGTAAATGGTTATCAGGTCAGAGGATATACCTACGCATAAATGTGGGTGTGCCTCTGTGGGGGAAGTGCTTGTAGTGGGAGTGCGGTTTGTGTTTGTGTAAGACAGAGAGAGGGGGGATGGGGCATGGAGAGGGGAGAAGGGATGCTTTCGACATTCCTTCTAATCCACGGCGAAGCCAGACAATAATAATAATAATAATAATAATAATAATGATACTAATAAATTCTGCGGGAAACACGTGTTCCTCGTTGCCACCCCCCCCCCCTACCCCCGCCCCACTTCCACAATCGCATTCATTTAATTCATTCATTTCACAAGAAATGAATTTAACCAGGGAGGTGGGCCCACCTCCCTGATTTAACCATGTACACACTGACCAGGAAGGAAACAGTAAACATCCTGGAAGAAATGTCTCATCAAATTTCATATTCCGTGAACTGGCATGAGTGTGCAAATATCAAATTATGCAAGACATTGATTTGAGTCGGGTCGGCTTTCATTTTACACTTTTAACAAATCCACGTATCTGAAGTGGTGTGTAAGTTCCTCGGTATCCAGAAAGTAGAGGTACGTTACAATTTCAAGATATTTTTCACTTCTTCTTTTATAACTTTAAACATCTGGAGTAAGAAGAGAAGGAAAAAAGGAGGGGAAAAAAGCGCAATCTTGTTCCTGCAGTTAATGGCATGCAGGCGCCGATCTAGGATCTTGTAATTTTCTGACGAGCAAATAATTTTTAAAAACCAAAGGGGGGGGGGATGGGGGCACATTCTTAGTCTTTCGTATTAAAGATATACCACTAAGGTTTCAAAAGATGGTACGGGCCGGTTGTGCCCCCATTCCCCTTAAATCCGAATGTGATGGCATGTGTCCTCGATTCGTGCTCATGGACTTCTATTAGTGTAATCCTCTTTCTGATTATCCATTCCGAAGGTTACGAAAGATCACTTCTTGTGCAAACTGGTAAATAAACTTCAAGTTTTAAGTATAAGCTTCCAACAAACATTTTATAATTATCTGCTTACAAACCTTTTCGGGCTTTATGCATACGAGTATTTCATAATGGATTTCAGTTTAACTAATTATCTTCAAAATAAATATTGCACTCGTACTGAATGTCATATAGCTTTATATAAATCATTGTGTCTCTAATGAATACATCATAATATTATCACTTATGTTCTACTGATATTGGTCCGCTAAATCAATTGGAGGATATTTCTTTCTGTCACTTTACAGACGAACAAGGACACCATGTCTTTCAAACACCCTTCATCTCTTTTCCCATCATTGGTCATGGCTTTTCTCTTGCCCTTGACGCTTCAAGCCTTCCAAGGCGACTCGATGGAGATTGTATCCTCGGGATTACATACAGGAAGCGTTCGTCGGGGATGTTACCAAAACGTAGAGCAAAGAAAAGCTTACTGCAGTAGCAGAGGTCTTGATTCGGTTCCTCAAAATCTTGCAGAAGACACTAAGGAACTTGATTTGTCTGAAAACAACATCACTGTCCTCCCGAAGTTCTCGTTTAAGAGATACCCCCTGATCACCGACTTGGATCTTTCAGCTAACGACATCAGAGTGATAGAACCCACCGCTTTCCACCCTCTCAAGAAGTTGGTGAACTTGTCTATAATCGTCAATCGCAATCTTGTGCTCCCAGTTTCAGGCTTATTCAGATGGGCCAGTAAGCTGACCTTGCTGAACCTGTCAGGATCAAACTTGAAATCCCTTCCCAACGACACCCTAAAATGGAATCAACACATAGACTACCTGGATTTAGGTTTCAACCACCTCACTTTCATTAATATCAGCACTTGTGGCTCGGTAAGATATGCTGGCTTTGCTTATAATCACATTGAACAGCTCACGAAGGAAACTTTCACCTTCGGGTGTCAAACTGATCATCTGGAGCTTGGGAATAACCCCATAAAGTTGATTGATCCAATTGCAATTGCTGCACTACATACCCACTCATTGATTCTAATATATGCCGGAGGCCACTCTTGGACACCCGAGATGCTGAGAAACCTAACAATCGGAATCTCTCGTTCACATATCAAGAGCCTTAAAGTCGATGTTAATTTAGGTCATTTCCCTCAAGATGTTTTTACTCCTTTGCGAGATTATTCCTTCACTCTTCTTGATCTCTCCTACAACAAAGTGAATGCACTCTTTCCATTTGTCTTCTCGAATCTGACGCTGCTCGATCAACTTGATCTCAGTAATAACAAAATAGCTACAATCGAACCGAACTTTTTTGATAGCATGCAGGCGCTGAAAGTGCTGAACATAAATTTCAATCAGGTAAGGAGTATTAATACTGGTAATCATACTTGGACAATCAACCTCATTAAATTGTATTTATCCACGAATTCATTAACAGAAATTTCAAAATTCGCATTCCTTGGTTTGCAAAATTTAACCCTTTTAGACTTAAGCTTTAACAGACGACTTGCTAGTATTTATTTGACATCCTTTACAGGACTAGATAACATTCACACCATTGATTTGTCAGGATGCAGTATCAGGTATTTGCAGTTGTACACTCCGGTATTAAGGTCGCTTTATATGAAAAGAAACTACCTCTTTGGGGCACCTATAAATCCTTTAGAACCTGGGAAATCCTTCAAAAACTCAATGAATCTTGTTTATTTGGATATACAAGAGTCACAAGTTTTTCCTTATAATCTGTGGGATCCAGCCACAAATGTTTCTCTTTTCGAAGGACTGTTCAACCTTACAACATTGGATATGAGTAAGAATCCGAACATTGGCAAATTCGGCCTGGATCTTGGGATCTTCCATCACCTCTCTGCACTACAGGAGCTCAGTTTAGATGCCTGCGCTATTTCCAACCTTCACCCTCTTGTGTTTACAGGTTTGGATTCACTTCAGAAGCTGAACCTATCAGGCAATAACCTTGAGCAGATTCGTATTGGTTTACTTACAGGGTTAGGGCAAATACGAAGCATTAAACTCGATGGAAACATTCTAGCACTCCTTGATGAAGGAACGTTCCTGAACAAATCAAGACTTACAAGCCTTTCATTGGCAAACAACAAGCTAACGGTTCTAAACGAGAGCATATTTAGACCAATCTATTCTTCTCTTTCACTGGTAGATTTTTCCCAGAACCCACTTATTTGTACATGTGATTTTGAGTGGCTTCTACATTGGCTGAATCAGAATGGAACAGTACGCCTTGCCAATGAGAATCAGACTCTCTGTGCACCATCATCATTGGCTTCTCTCCGTGAGATACTTCATTTTAATCCCACTGAACTCTGTCGGTTCAACTATGCCATCTTCAGTTTAATTCCGATTGTCATCGTCTCCTTGGCTGTCTTACTCGTACTCGTCTATCACCAGCGATGGAGGCTGAGGTACAAACTCTTCCTCCTAAAACTGGCGGTCATTGGGTATAGGGAGAGGCTAGACGCGCGCGACCATAACGACTATGAGTTCGACGTAAATATCATCTTCTATCACGACGACGAAGAATGGATTCGCGATAATCTGAGGCCAACTCTGGAGGTCAAGCTACCGCAGTTTCAAAGGAACACCTTTGGTGACGCAGACCTCATACCGGGTATGTACTACTTGGATGCCGTTGACTACGTGGTGAGCCGGAGTTACAAGACCATCA